TTCCCAATATTGCAACGTCAAAGTTGAATAGTATTTGAGAGAAGATAAAATTTGGTATTTCTTCTTTTTGAAATAACGAGCGTTGTGATTTGCAAATTAATATTTTCGATTATGTTGCAAAGTCGTGAATCATCTCATGTCTGGCATCAAATATCCCTAATTAAACCCGACGCTGAATTTCTTCTAACGCAGGTAACTCGCACACAATTTGCACGACATTTGCCTTTTCTGGGACACCCTGTGCGCATCAGCCTCGTTCTATTTTTTTCCCGGCCGCATTCATAATTTGCTTAGTTTCTGAGTGGAAATCCTCTCTCGGGCGAGAGCGCAAACCAAAATTTCCGCCGTCATTAAACGCGAGATTCGCGTCATATGAGAAAGGGGGCTGGGAGGGGGTGACGGGAGCGATTCTCGCGACATTGTTAGTTTAATTATGTCTCCTTGGCGCATGGAGACGCGCCTGCGGGCTAAGGCTCCCGTCGACGTTTTTGGCCGATGGCCAACCGGGGTACGTCCTCGTGTATGCCATGGAGATACGTCGCGGCGAGAACCCCTTGACATTTTCCGACGAGTTGAGTAATCGCCGGGAAATACGGAGATGGGCCAATCGAATGCATGTACGCGATACCCGTGTGTACAAGTGATGCGTGTGATACCGTTGTACAAACGTACACTCTTAATCAAACAATCCTATGTTGTTTCAATCGATACGCTGTAACGGTATTGTTATTCCCAAATATTAAAAAATCTAAATTACTCACGCGTAAAATACAGCTATCGCTGTCAGTCATTTTTGTAACGATTTATCGCTCGCAAATGTTTGTCTTTTCTTTTTAAGTCGCACAGTGGTACCGAAATCACACCCCGCCCCGGAGTGTATTGTTTTCTCATCAAGCGCCTCGAAACCGTCGGGGGTCTCGCTTCCAATTTTCATGCAAAATTACGACCGAACGGCACGTTTTGGTAACCGCGAAAGGATTAGAGAGAGGCTATCAGCAGGGAAACGAAAATGCCAGGGAATATTTCGGACGGCACGTTCGCGGTAAAGTCGCTTTGCCTTTGCATTCCGATTACGCGCCGACGAATGCGTTTCCCCCCTCGCTCGTTATCATGTTTTTAATTGCAACAAATCTGGATGCGCGGGCAGCACGTTTTTCTCATAGCTGTAAAAATCGAATTTTTGCTCGGGATCGCGTGTCTCTCTGAAAGCGATTGTCCGCAAAGCGGTTTTCGC